TTGAGCTTGCCAGGCAGGCGCTTATGCCACTGAGCTAACTCCTCGGCCCCTGGCAGGGCTTTTAAGAGGGGATTAGATCACACGCCCTAATGAAAAAAAACGAAGATGTGCTGCGTACGTGCACCAGCTACCCACAGTGAACATCTTCCTTACGTACCACAAATGTATACTAATGAGAAAGAGCCAGACTGAGGCTCTGCTTCCCCCAGTCCTGCCTCCCACGTGGTGCAGGCATAGCAAGGCGTGGGGTGGGGGGAAGGCAGCCTTGAGCAGATGCCAACACCTGGATGTTTGACCTTCCACAACTGTGAAAAAGAATTCTGCTCTTTACAAGTTAACTAGTGTCAAGGTACTTTGTCTTAACAGCACAAAATGGACTAAGACAAATTTAAAAGCTTTTGTGGAAGAAAATTGAGTAGTTCTGTAACATAATAATAATATTTAAAAAAGCACAGAGCCTTTGATGTGCCAACTTTACTTTTTTTTCCTTGGTGGTACTGGGGATTGAACTCAGGACCTTCACACTGAGCCACATCCACCACCCCATTTTAAATTTTGAGAGAGGGTCTCACTAAATTCCTGAGTTGCCTAGGCTGGGTTCAAACTTGTGATCCTCTGGCCTCAGCCTCCCAGAGTGCTAAGATTACAGACACACACCACCGTATCAATTGTAATTTTACTTTTATGGGCACAATCTCAAAATTTGTAACTAGGGTAGTAATTAAATTATTTTACAGGAGACAACAGAATATCATGCTGCTGATAAAAAGAAGAATTTATGTCTACGTGGACGTTGGTTTTATTTCCAGGGTTTTTGTTATGGGTCACTGAGAATAGGAACAAAATCAGAAGCCAGATTGGAATTTAAGAGCCTTTGTTACTGAGCTCAGGGCTGCCAGTCATTTCTCACTCAGAAGACTGATCAGTGCCTCACCAGGGAAGCAAGGAGCTTTTAAAATGAAAGTCCCAAGACTCGGGGGTCTTTCACAGTTCAGCGATATGTGCAGTTTGCCCGTATGGGGGCTTGTTCAGCAAGCCATTTTTTGCAAGATGCATCTTAATTAAGCTCACCATGTTTATAGGAATTAGATTAGGGAGGGGAGGAGACAGTTACTCAGTTACTCCTTACTGAATAGCCTTGAACAGTGTGAGGACACATTCCTTAGAGTAGATAACAAGAAGCATGAGGGAACCTAATAGTCTTCCATAGTTACAGCTCCAAATTCAGTTGACCCATTACAGTTTTAGTATAATCACTGATTGGTTTCAGTGTAGTTTTTTAGAGGAAGAAAACAAGGTGGAAAATAAGAAAATTTAATTAAAAAATGTGAGAGAGGGAATTTATATATTGCATAAACTACCTGTGGAAGCACCCTTCCCCCCCCCCCCCGTCTGTCTGTCTCTCTCTCTCTTTCTCTTTTGTATTTAGTGCAGGGTCTACAAGGTCTCACTACATAGGTCGAACTCCTGGTGATCTGCCTGTGTTCAGCCTCCCAAGAGCTGGGATTACAGGCAGGCGCCACCACAATCTCAGCGCACTCTGGGGCTGGGGCTGGCACAGCACTCCGGGAATGGAACCCAGTCCCTGCACTGTGCCTAAGCAGGTGTTTTAGTCCACTGAGCTATCTGGCTGTCCCTTCCTTCTGTCTCTCTTGAGTTTTATGTCATATGCACACACACTCAAGAGTCAGACAACTTACAGACTGGGGATGTAGCTCAGTGGTAGGTAGGGCACCTGCCTAGCGTGCAGAGGCCCTGGGTGCTGCCCTCAGCACCACAACAATGAATAAGTAAATAAGATAGATGTTTTCACTGTAGAAAGGTTTAGAAAATAAAAATATTTTAGCTGGGCATGGTGGCACACACCTGTAATCCCAGCACTTGGGAGGCTGAGGCAGGATGGTAGCCATGAGTTTGAGGCCAACCTGGGCTACATGAGTTCAAAGGCAGCCTGAACTACATAGGGAGACCCTGTCTCAAAAGAACCCCGCAAAGTTTTAAAATCACTTTAAATAGTTATAATGGTATATTTGAGATCTTTTTCATTTAATAATGTATATGAACATTTTCCTGTTCTTAAAAATATTTTCAAACATTATTTAATTCTTGAATGGTATTTCACTTGGTACAGATTAGTTGTATCTGTCTATAGCTCTCTACTGCCCTCTGAGGGCATTTGCCATGTCTATTTAACAACTCATTTTGCCGTCTTTAACGAAACATACCAAAAGGTAGTTTTAACAATACTGTAATGAGCATCTTTGTGCATTTATCTTCACCCACAAGTTAGATTATTTCCTTAGAATAACTTCTTATAAACTGACTTAGTGGCTCAGGGTTATGAGAAGGTTGAAGTTTCTTGATACACATCAATAAGCCACTTCCCAGAGAGGTCTGGGCTGTTTACATCTCATAACAGGTTGATGATTCTTTCTCTTATTTCCTCACTTGCTATTGACTGTAAAGTGTAGATAATAACTGAAGAAAAGTCTGTGGCAGAGCAAAAGAATGATGTGTGCGTGCTCTGGGCTGGGGGGCCCCTCAGACCCAGGCTGGGCCCCCGAGTGTGCTGAGGCGTAGGATAGGACAGCAGAGCCTGTTGGCTGCTCCAGGATTGGGCTTGGCACTCATCCTGCCTCCCTGTGTGCCAGTGGGAGGCTTTCTGCCTGGGCAGCTCGTGAGGTCAGACAGGGCAAGGGCCAAGGCAGAGCCCAGTCTGTTTCAGTGAGAGGCTGGCCTTTCAGATGAGCTGTAACTCCATCCCATGGTGTCAGATCCTGGAGATACAGACTTCAGCAGCCATGCAGTGCGCTGTGGTGGACGGGGACCTTTTCTAGACTTTTGAGAGGGGGTGGCCCCATCATCCCCACAGATAGGTAGTGGGAGTCGAGGGTGGGCAGATAGAAATTTAATCCAGAGTAATTATGGGGTGCCTGCTGCTTACCAAGCATGGTTTAGAGAATCTGGGTATAGAGCAACCTGTGTGTGTTAGCCCAGCTGTCAGGATTAAGCCTTTCAGTTTGATTTGGTAAAAATCCAGACACCCTGCCTCCCATCCTTATTCTCATGGGCCTGGTATTCTAATTGGAGGAAAAGAGCTGAGGAAATAGGCTCTGGAACTGGCTTGGGGTCTGACCCTTCCCACGGGCACAGGTATTATGTGGAGGAAAAGCCTGGGCCTGCGAGCCAGAGCGTCTGCTAGACCTTTCTGAGTTACACACCTACCTCAGAGGGCTGTGGTGACCATTTAGAAGGGTTGTAGATAAAAGGAGCACCTCACGGATGGTACCTTGTCTCTTACAGTTAGCACTGCCCTTGTAGCTTGCATTGTTGCTACTGTTAGTGTTACTGTAACAGGCCATTCTGGACTGGAAGCTTTAAGCAGTTTCTTCAGAGGGGAGTGAAACTGACCTGCGGAGGGAAGGCCTCTGGGATTTCCTTCAGTTCTGAAGCCAGAGCACTGTAAGAAAGATAGGCAGCGTGTGCCATCTGCTGGATGTAGGGAAAATTGCATCCCACTGAATTGTGTCCCCCACCTTGATTTGGGGGAACCTGAGCCTGAGAAGGGCAAGCTCTTTGCTGCAGAGAGTAGGCTGTAAAATACATGTAGTATGATGCTCACTTTTTTTTCTTCCTTGCAGTGGAGATGGATCCCAGGGCCTTATGCTAGGCAGGCACTGTACCACTGAATTATGTGCCCAGCCCTCCCAATAATGCTTAAATTATATGGCTCCTTTTTGTACATACAGTTCTTTTCTATTCCCTCTCTAGGCTGTTTTATCAGCCACCAAGCCTGCTAACCACTACCTGCAAGTAATAATTTCTAATTTCATAGCTTTGCTGCCCAGTCAGTCTCCTGAGCTCCTACCTGTTTGGCCCACGTACCTATTGTGCCTCTCCCTTGGAAAGCTCACAGGCACTTCAGAGTCATGGCCAAGCACACCTCCTGATTTCCACGCCACCGTCCCTCCCCTAATACTCTGCTGCTATTCCCCATTTCAGGAAGCCAGACTTCTACTCTCTGACTTATTTGTGTCAAAAACCTACATTTCTCATTAGTCAAACTCATGCCTATTGCTCTCTTGTCCAGATTAGATCTACAATATATCTCAGCACCACTGTCTTCCTGCACCCAAACTCCACAGGGCCTCCTCACTTACTCCTTTCCAGGCCCAGCTCCACACAGACACACAAGCCATCTTGGAAAGCACACATATAATCACTCATGACCCACCCTAAAACCCTCTCAGGGTCCAGGAATCAGACACGGTCTGGTCTGGCCTTGCCCACCTCAGCTCTCCTGCCATATTCCAGCCCACCATGCCTGCCTTCCTCAGAACCTCCACACATTCTGTTCCCACTTCTTTTTTGACACAGGGTCGCACTGTGTAGTCCACGCTGGCCTTGAACTCATGGTAGTCCTTCTGCCTCTGCCTCCCAAGGGCTAAGTTTACAAGTGTGCACCACCACACCTGGCCATCCTCTTCTCTTGCGATCTGCTTCCCCTCACTCTTCATCTGCGTAATGCCCAGCCACCTTTGGATCTCAGATAAAATGCCACTTTCTGATCCCAGTCTTGGTCAGATCTTGGCAGTCACTCCAGAACCCTGTATTCTCCCCTGAAGTCCTGAGAGCCATGGTACTGGGTAATAAGTGCTTAGGTACTGGGCAGTTTGACACAGCCTCCAGCTCATAAGTTCTGTGGCTGGTTAAGAGGGCACCTGGGGAAGAGGTAAGTGAGTGTTGCTGCTGGAGAGGGGAGCAGGGTGTGAGTCAAGGAGGCATCACCCAGAGTGAAGTGCTGTGTGGGCGGGGACCGGGCTGCTCCTTCGTGGCTGCACCTGCCACACCTAGCAGGTGAGAGCCGGGCGTGTGATGTGGACAAGCAGGTTGTGTTTATCTGTAACCTCAGAAAAAAGGCTGAAGGTTTATACTCCATGTTGCTGGTGGTTGTCAGGGGTAGAATTATGATGTTTTTATGTTTTCTGCTCTGTCTTCAGTGAAAAGAGGAGTAACTACTTTTGGCAGAAGACATCGGTGCCTCACCTCCGCCCTCCTGTCTCCACAGGCCTGAGAGCGATGCGACAGGCGTGATGGAGGTCGAGTCCTCCTACTCGGACTTCATCTCCTGTGACCGAACAGGCCGTCGGAACGCGGTCCCTGACATCCAGGGCGACTCAGAGGCCGTGAGTGTGCGGAAGCTGGCTGGAGACATGGGCGAGCTGGCCCTTGAGGGGGCAGGTGAGAGCCAATGTGCTTCTGTGATCTTTGCCAGCCTGGGCTGGTCTCCGAGTCCTGGATTGCACACACTTCCTCAGAGAAGCAGCTGCATGCAAATGGGGCCTGGCCCACGGTCAGTGGCAGAGTCCAGCCAAGTGCCAGTGGGAGTGTGACAGCATGCCAGGACCTGAGAATCCAGCTGGGCATCCGGGGCCCTTCCCATCACCCATGAACTCCATCAGCTCTCTTCCAAGATGTAGCCCAGCTCAAGCTGCTCTTCTCAGCCTCTGACTGGGCCAGCCGCTCCCGCCCTCCCCTTGCTCTGCGCGGCAGCCGTCCAGTCCTGTCCTGCCAGAGCATTCCCAGGACATCCCAGCAGAGCAAGGCGGGCTCTTCAGCGCCCACAGCAGCCGTGCCACTTGGATCCTGCCAACTCCACGCTACACCCCCATCTGAGCTTTCGGGCATTTCTCAGCCAGGGCTCAGGTCTTCCCTGTCAGTGCCTTTTGTTTCACTTTTCCTCTGCTTAGAATGCCCCCATCCAGCACCAGGGCTGCTGTCACTCTCAGCTAGTGGGTTCCCTGGCAGATCTCCCCACACAGCTCAAGCAACCTTCCCCAAGAAAGTGACTCCCAGACAAGGTCTCACTTGACTGTTCAGCTCCAGGAGAGCAGGACTTTCTCTTCTGCCTGCACACAAGTAGGCACTTGGTGACCACGGACCGGATGAAGGCCTAGAGGACATTCCTGCTCCCTCCAATTCTCCCTCCAGCCTTCTGGGGGGCTCTGCTCCATTCAGACCCACTGGCCAGCCGGGACCCTTCTGGGAAATCTTTTCTTTTCTTTTTTTTTTTTTTT